GCGCATTTCTTTTGTTTTTCGGACATTTTCCAACAAACAAATGAATTTCTTTTGTTGCTAGACTAATTTATTAACACCTGCACTTAATTTCGAGGGTGGGAGAAGTGCCCGGGATGGGTTCGAACAAGAGTTTAGACTAATTTATTATATTAGGAGGGGGAAACGTTGTTGAGATGGGTTCTTACAATAGTTTAAACCAGATACATTCGCGAAAGTGGTCGCTTATTACAGGTGTTATATGTTGTTTCGGACCAAAAATCGATGCCCGCGGTCGCGTAACACAGGTGGTCGTTTAATACAGGTAACTTATACAAAGACTTTATGGGTAAACTATTCCGTGCCAGAAATTTTTGCCCATTTTGACAGGTGCCCGTCGAATGCAGGTGGTCGCCTAAGCAGTTTTCACTGTATATAAATGTATATACGGTACGTATGGTCTTCATTACAGATAAAATCTGTAGGTAATACAATTTATTCTTTAATAGTTATGTGGTGTGTGATCAGACGTATCACACGATCTTGAATTTAAAAAATCCGGAGACTTCTTGGAATTTGAGGAAAAGGTTTCAGACTTGGAACGGGAATAGAACCCGGGTGATATAGAAGTCTGTTAAGTCTCCTATCTGGCACTCCTCTCTTGGAAGATAAGGGAGTATTTTCCTAAACGAATCGGAATGTTATACGTGTCCGCACAATTCACATGATTTGTGTACCGAGTCTTCAGTGCGTGTTAAGTGTTCAATAAAGTTTATTCTGTTCAAATTGAGTCGTCCCTGTGAAAGAAAAGACACTACAATTCCACAACCACTCAGTAGTGGAATGGAAGATCTTAAATCCATGGTTTTACTGAATGTATAATCTACCTGATTTCAAATGTTTACTTTTTTAGTGAACAGAATTTTGACTTATGAAATAATTCTCGAACACCTTCAGTTACGTATGAATTATTATCCTACGAGTAAAGTTTTTGTTTTTAGATGGATTTTATTCACTTTGGAAAATGTCGTTAGATTTGTGATTCGAACGGAGAAGTGACTTTTGCCGAAAAACCAATTTTATACAGCAAACACTACCAAAAAAAGAGGGAACTCGTTTCAGATGGATGGTTTCAAATGAAAATTAATCAAATTGCTCTGGCGAACGAATCGTGAGAAATTGGAAGGCTCGTTTTACGACGAATTTTTAAAAGGAACCTATTTAACTTCATTCAAAAATTAATATCTAATAATTAACCGAATCCACGATGGGTATGAAAAAAGGCCGAGACCCCGCTAGAGTAAAAACTCTCGCCGTAGCTCGTTTTCCGCCAAATTTCGTTTACGTGACCATATTTTACGTCGGAACAGGACGTAAACCGAGTTGAACAATTTTTAAGACAGATTAACACAGGTGTTAATCTGGTTCAACTTTCGACGCGAATACGTCCGTAAAAAGGTAACATCAACCATTCAGAAGTCAGTAGAATCTACGTCATTGTGACATCGTGCGAAATTTGGCGGAAAACGAGCTTTTATATACAGTACTTTCTCATGGCTACTTAGAATAGATCTGGAAAGATGTATCGAAATTATCCACAATAGGCATCCTGATTATAAGAATGTATGTCTAAAACACGCGATATGGATGGCCATAGGAAAATCCTTCAATTTAGATGAGTATGTAATAAAAAAGCTAAGCGTTTAAGTACAATATAGTACCTTAATAATATACTATAATATGATTAAAACAATAATAATATAATGATAAAAGTTAATACAGTGGTACCTCAGGATACGAAATTAATCCGTTCCGAAACTGAGATCGTATCATGAAAATGTCGTAAGGTGAATCATTTTTCCCCATACGATTACACGTAAAACCAAATGATTCGTTCCAGCGCGAAAAACATACTCAAATTAAAGCCAAGTAATACATTAAAAAAAATAACTGTAGTAAAAAAAAAACAAATGAAAAATGCGAACTAATGTAACGTCGTATGGTGAGTTTTTGTTCGTATCGTGGAGCAAAAATATGTTCGAATTTCATGTCGTATCCTGAAAATTTCGTATGCTGGGGCGTTCGTAACCTGAGGTACCACTGTATATGAAAGCAAAGATATTATTTTTACTACATTTGTAATTATAGTACCAAAAAAATCATAGAATATAATCATTGTCTTTATATCGATACTATCGAAGTTATAGTTGTATTGTCGAAGTAAAATCTTCGCTAGTACAGCCGGGCCTCCACTGTAATCTGAAAGCAAACGTAAATAGTTCACCTGATTAAAAAAAATTACAGCGAAGATTTTTACGCTAGCGGAATATCGGTCTTAGTGCCCATAGGGAGGAAAGAGCCAAAATAAGTAAATAAATCATGAAAGTTGACGACATAGTAATTTATTTTAAAATATAAATAAGATTCTGCAAGTTTAACGTTATACAAAACTTTATTAAATTGACCATGTATAAATTCTATAAAATATTTTTATAAAAGTTATGGTGCATACAGTATAAATTTTATCAGAGTATAATTAAAATATAAACGAAACATTAACATCGTCGAAATTTGATGCACGATTATTACTTGATTGTCAATATGTAAATAATTTTTGTAATGCTTAAACTTTGTGACTTTTAACAGTTGTTTATAATCGTTGAAATTCCTAAAAGCTAACCGCATACTCTGGAGATTTCTTTCTTTTTGGTACAGGGACAAAAGAAGATGTGTATAAATTGGGCAGTTGCAGCTGCCAAATCGTCTTCAGTAAATATGTAAAAGAGAGGAGAGATGGCAGCCGAAAGTACTATCAAGAGAATGCTTCCCACTTCATAATTAGTCGAAAGAATTAGCATGTGGCATTGATGAGTCTTTTCTCCCAGAACGATGTAAGACATGTAACTTATAATGGGCAGAGTACCAAATACGTACAGCGTGAAAGATGCTAATACATTTTTCAACTTAACTGCCTGGCTAGTGACAAACGGAATTACCAAAGGTTGATCGGTAATGGTTGCGATTTCGTTGCATTCGGGCAAGACCGAGTTGCGTTTCTTGCAGTTAGCGCAGATAACGTTAAACAAGAGGGCGATGATTATCGATAAATGAAAATAATAAAGCAAACAGAGCGTCATGGAATAGGCATTAGACCAGATGTGAGGAATCGTGCAATATCCTTGCCAGTTGTTCCATCCCACTATAGGTATAACTGAAACAACTACGCCTTCGAACCATGCCATTACAACCATAGCTAAAATAATAGCTCTGCATCTCTGTTCCGTTTTAGATTTACAGGATATTTCGAAGTGAAGTTGAAGTACTTGTAGCGTTATCAACGAAGTAGAAGTAAAGAGCGTGACCAGAAGAAATCCGGAAGGCACAAAATAGCATATATTGTAATCTGAAAGGATTTCGGAGTTTTCTGCGGCTGTGATTCTGTAAACGTACCAAGCCACCACCACAGAGGATAATTGCCCACAGATGCAGAAACTCATAATGATTATATTTTTAGCTTGTTTTAGCAAAGATTGTTGTATAATTGCTAGGAAATGGATGAGATTTAGGAGAAATGCCATGGTTGCTATCGCAACTGATATCAACACGAATAATCGTTGATGATCTCTGTTTTCTAGATCCAAATTCAGTGCGATGGTGCAGTTCCATAAGAACATCGTGTTGTCTGAAATATATAAAATCTTATTAAGTCGGGGTAACGAAAATGTCATAATTTTGACATTTCTATCGAAGCTATTAAATTGATAGTGACGAAAATATAGTAGCCTAAGGTCATTGGCCAAGATCGATAATAAGTTACTACCGAAAACAAAATAGAAAGTTGTTTCGAGCGGAATTCGAATTTAGTATTTAAGGTTTGTTATAAATATTAAGAGAACTGAGTCAATTTAAAAGATAAAGATTTAAGAGATATACGACTTACCTTACTGCAGTGGACAGAAAATATAGGCATAAAACCCTCACTAACGGAGAGGGTTCACTGGACTACCGCACCTATTGCATACAAAAGTAAAATCGATAACGTGGTGAATCACCTCGTGTCTACTTTTAGAAGAGAGTTACTGCGACTCACCTGCCCGTAATACAATGGCAGCTGTATAATTTAAAAGTAACAACAATAGACAACTGGGTCAGAAAGTTGATGGTTCTCGAATTATCCATTTTTCCGCTCAATTAGCAAATACAACAGTGGGCCATTGTAACTACGCTTCTATTTGTTTTGACGCAAACCGTTCCGTTCGAAATTAAGGTTGTATCGTTATGCGTGAACTTGAAAGCATTTATTCAATTCGAAACTTAATATATAATTTTAACCGAATATAAGGAAGAATATTTGCGTGCAACTCGTATAAAATCGATGTAAAACAAACGAAAACTTTTAGTTTACTCGGATATTTAGGGTTGAATCCAGAAACGAGTACACGCCGAATTCCTAAAGTGCTCTTGTTTGATTAGTTGTGAAATGTGCTAGTTTCTGTCAGAATGCAATTTTACATTTTAGAATGAGATTGTCCTAAAATATTATACCAATTTCGTCATCGATTAGATTATTTGAATGCAGATATAGACTGAAAATAAATTATTTGTAATTATTAAATCCGGAAACAGAAATAAAATCGGTTAAAATAAATTCGTTTACTGTATATCCAAATAATTGTTGATTTAATGGAATGTAATTAATTCTTCTTGCCACCATAGTTCTTGTTAATTAATTAATATTTTCTTACCAAAATTTTAAATAGACCTATTCTTTTATACATTACTTATTGCAACTTTGAATAATTGTTTAGGGCATTACCGTAAGTTTACCTTATTACCTTTTAACAGACAAAATCGGAAATATATTCTGTAAAATATTCCATATTTCCAATTTATTTTACATACATTTAGTAAAATTTAAATAACTATTACGTTTTCAAAATTATTGATGATAATGTAACAGATCTAACTTTCGTAACTTTTATATTTTGGCGTTCTCAAAGAGAGCATAAACTTTTCAGTTTTATAAATTAATAAATAAACAACGTGGGCGAAATTTTGATGATTATTTTAAATCAATGCTAATATAATATTTTAGTATTGACTTTTTTATTATTTTGTTTGCTTTTAAAATGATAAATGATATACATCAGTAGCATAATTAAGGATGAAGTAAATGAGTATTTGCTCCGGCGCAGCGTTGTTAAGAGTACAAAAACTAAAATTTCCAAGAACAAAATGAATATAAAATCTATTATTTATAAATAAGACAATATTTCAATAAATATTTTCTAAAAATAAATATTTGTTTTCTGTTATTTTGGAAGATCAAGAGGTAAGTTCTCTTGGATGCGTAAAACTATTTTACACATCCACTATCCGTCTTAGTAAATAATTAACAGTAGCATCAAATATTATTATTATTATTAATAAAATAAAATATTCACTTTGCTGATTTTAACTTATAGGCATCTTCTTTGTTCTTCCGTCGACATATTTGACTTTAAAATTATTGTCAATTTCTTCCAACATAATTCTAGAATTAAAAAAAAAGTGCAACATTTTAACAGTTTTTTAGATTGCTTTCTGTTAATAAAGAAAGATTCTATATGTTTCATTTGTTCAAAAAAAAACATGGAGAATGGACCCCTTTATTTGGGTCCTGCACTAGTTTTCGAAGATCCTGGGCGCAGGAGAGTCGTAAATATAGAATTTTATACATCGCTAAGTTTGTTTATAGTTTTCCTAGCACGCTATGGAAATAAGTACCCTTCTGCAATTACATCATAAAAATAAATAAATTGTAGATGTATAGCTTCGTTTTTCTAAAAAATTAGTCAAGTTATTAATACTAATTAATTAATTTATATAATAATTATATTAGTTAAACTAAATTAGGTAGTTAAATTCAAGGTAATAGATTGCTATTATTCACATTTTTAGTTTTATTTTAAAATATCTGAGAAATGTTTAAAACTCTCGCTCAAATGGTTGATTTTATACAGTATTTGTCTAAAATTATGGAAAAATAGTTTAAATTAATGTTTACTTTTCATTCTTTTAATCCTTTATAGCGCATTACTTGTGATTGCTTCGTGTAAAATACATATTAAAAATATGCAATATAAATTATTAGAAGTATTTAAAAACTTCGATTTACTGTCACAGTTTGTTAGCTTCTGAAGTTGGCGCTAACCAAAGGACCTCACATAATAAAGATTACGTAAGGAAATATCTACGCACACGTTTCAGTTTGGTTTAGTGATGATAATGCAATACCTCTACATTGCAAAATCGTACGTTTAGTAATTCACAAGTATTCATTGGCGCTTTACGAGAGTGGTGCTAGTTACAAGAGAGCTATATCGAGATTATTATCTATATATTATTTAAAAAATAATTAATATACTGTACTAAACTTCGATCAATATAAATACACAGTTAGGAAACTGATAATTTTCTTTCGAATGAAATAATTTAATCTTTATTAAAATAGGAATATTCTGAAATATTAAATGTCTGACCAGCAACAAATGATTCATATGTCTGTTTTTAAATCGGTTAGTTGGTAATTTTTCTTTTCTTTATTGCTTAAGTTATATGCTTAATACGATCAAATATTGTTGATATAGCATCCCCTAGTCTTTTAGTCACTTGAAAAACTCCAAAATCATTTAGAGTAAAATTATTTAAACAACGATACAAATATTCTGAAGGAAATTCATGCAGAACCTTTTCAAACACCTGGTTTTGTTGTCTTAGCTCAGGCTGTATGTATGGATATATCTTATGGAAATCTGCAAAAATTAAAAGTTCAAATGATTAATTTATAAAAGTAGTCTAAGATTATTTACCTTACAAAAATGTTATTTTAATCTGATTTTTTTTTTAAATCTTAGTAATGACACTATAAATATGAACTCTGATATAATTTATAAAACCTAAGTTATCTTTATAAAGGATTAAGTGTCCTTTTTAAGCATTAAAAAGTATACTTTTAAATAAAACTTTTATACGTTTTCGAACTATAAGTCTTTTTTCCAAAAATTTGGGATTTTTTTGTCTTTCGAAAAAAAATGTTCACCAAAGTTTCAAACTGATCCTTTTTTTTTCTTTTTAAATACTTCATTCCATATTAACGAACAAAATTTTGCCAAATTCATATTCAACGTTGTTATAGGTTACTGAATAAATCAGAGAGCGTAACACGATTTATTTAAACAGGAGAAAGCATTGAGGCAGGGCACATGGGCGGCATAGTAAGAAGACAATCGTCTCCTTATGACCTTGACAATCGAAATAAGAAGCTTTTCCGTGAAAGATATCCATTTTTCTTATTTTCTTGACACACTCACACAGAGAGATAAATATATAACATATATATATTGTAGTTTAGAGCTAAACAAGTTTTAATCACGATAACTAAAATAATAACCATGATAGTGACACTTAATTTAGTGTCTGTTCTAGCACCACAACGTTCGAGTCAGTCTGGAAGTTACGTGACACTGGAGTCACTCTAGCAATTAAGATCTCTGTGGATGTGATACGGAAAATATAGTTCGTCGTATTTTAACTGATGATTTTATAATTTTTCTGAACCGAGTAGATCGATGGTAACCAATAGCAATCACTGTTATTCCGTCGCTGTTCCGGGAATCGGAGATAATTTCAGTTTTGACAACAATTTGGCAAGAGACAAACGGAAATGCAATTCGTAAACATATATTTTATTAGATTAACTAAACATATTTATCTTTTTAATCCTTTTATCGCAAGGCTGGGGTAGAAATAGAATCAGTGACTGTCATATTTTTCTTTCCTCCCATCACTTATGTCTCCCTGCAGTCTTAGTTTATTCCTCTTTTATGTACTTTTTAATATAATCAAGATTAATTTATTATTATTATATATTTCATTAGATCTTGTTAAAATATCTTGAGATGTAAGACTAAGTCCTTATAGAAACTTTGTTATGTATTGAAGAATAATCATTAAAATATTTTAATAACTAAAAATATCTTTAAAAACTAATGTAAAATGACTAATGAATAGCGTAAAGTGATGATAATTAAATTTTCTAAAGTATAAATAATGAAAAACTAAAAATATTTTTCCAATTCAATTTTAATTACTGCTAATTATTTTTCAGGGGAAAAAACGATCAAATATTTTTACTTCATTTAAAAACAAATGTAAGAATTTTAATTTAATTGTTATCTCGAATATTTAATATATAATCGTGGAACGTCTGAATTCTGAATACGTTTCTATAGCAACTGAATTTTATGCTGTTTTGTGTACGGAACAAATACACATTCAAATCAAACGATGACGTATCCGGAAAACGTTTCGACGTAAACAATTTTTTACGCTCTTAACAAAAGTTTTCTGTCGATCTGAGATGTTAAAACACAACAGTGAAACTGTCAATCGCATACAGTATTAAGGTAACTAGAATTTACCTTAACACACGATTATCAGTTCTACTGTTGTGTCCGGAACATTTACAGGAAAGCTATCATCGCAGGAACCTTTGTTATATCTTTTATTTCCTTACTTTTGAATACATTACTTGGGTTCTTTTTGAGTGCACACGAATAGCGCGATCAAATTTATAAGACACGTTAAGAAGAATATATTCATTTTTGATTAAAACTAAACGACTTGCAATTTT